TTAATATTTTGATATTCATTACATGTTGAATAATATTTGGATGCATCAAGTTAAATAAAGAATAGTGTTAAAATTAAATTCACTTGCTTCTTTCTCCTTTTTCAAAATATGACTTCTAGAAATTTTAAAATTACATTTGTGATTTGTACTGGACGACGCAGTATAAACTCAGTCAGGTTTTAGATTTGTTTAAGTAAGAGGTTTCATTGTGTGTATCACCTCCAAGAGGCCAGTTTCTTCCTTCCTGGGATATTTTAAGGGTTTCTTCCTTAATTAAAATAAAAATTAGTGACAAGTGGTTTGGTATCCTTAAAGAGCTCACACAGCTTCAAACAAGTTTATTTAAATCAGGGAAATATTCATGTTTTGTCAAGCCCTTTTTCTGTTTGGTTCTGGTTTTGTTTGTTTTTAAATTTATTTTTTAATTGAAGGATAATTGCTTTACAGAATTTTGTTGGTCTCAGCCAAACATCAACATGAATCAGCCATAGGTATACATATGTCCTCTCCCCCTTGAACCTCCATCAGGCCTGTTTAAAACTGTCTTTGTTCAAACAAATATTTTTTTGGCAAAGTTTCAAGGTCTGTTTCCCATATTGCATCATTGCCTTTAATCTTTCTTATCATTAATATTTTAAAAAGGAAATTGGAATTAAAAAGAGAGAAGCAAAGTTATATAATGAAACACATAGCAGAACCCACAGAGGTATTTTTGCAATGCAACTTGGGAAGAGAAATGAAATCAAGACAAAATAAGAAAAAAGAAAATGAGTTGGCCGAAAACTTCGTTCAGGAACATTACACAGCATGTTGAAACAGAACGAACTTTTTGGCCAACCCAATATATCAGGGTCTTGAGATTGCTGTATTCCCGCCTTTGGGAGAGACAGGTTTTGAGGAGGAGCTGTCAGAGACCATTTAGAACTTTCCCTTGGAGCACAGATGTAACAGGAGTAGAACTGCCCAGGGCACAGTCCAAGTTTTATAACTGTGCATATGAAGAAATAGTCACAGCAGCATTAATATTTTCTGCCTGTACTTTAGATCCCAAAATGGTTTTTAAACGTACCTCAATACTTTGGCCAACTGATGTGAAGAGCTGACTCACTGGAAAGGATTCTGATGCTGGGAAAGACTGAGGGCAAGAGAAGGGGGCGGCAAAGGATGAGATGGTTAGATAGCATCACTGACTCAATGGATATGAGTTTGAGCAAACTCCTGGAGATGGTGAAGGACAGGGAAGTCTGATAGGCTGCAGTTCCTGGGGTCACAAAAAGTTGGACATGACTTAGTGACTGAACAAGAACAAAGTTTCTTCTTTAATAATAACCTGCATTTATTGGTACCTAGAACATGCCAAGCATTTCACATGTGTAATCCATTTAATCTTCACAATGTCAGAAAGAAACAAGGCAGCAGACAAAGCAAGTAATGTCAGTTAAAACATGGAATGGTGAGGATTAGAACCCAGCTTTTGGGATCATGGGCTAGACATCAGAATTCAGCCTTTAACTACCTCACCACCTCTCTCAACCAAGTTATTCTGTCTCTACTTGGCCATGATGAATCAAGCGTCAAGAGCTGACACTTCCATATTACCTAACATGCATTATCTGACTTTATCTATAAATTATGATAAATTCAGGATGTTGAAGACTAAGTCAGCCAAGGGCGATTTTTTAAAAAAATATTGAAAGTCTACAATCTTAGAAATTCATTTTAACAGTGATCAAAAAGAGTGGAAGTCAGTCAAAGGCAGGCTTATCTTGGATTTTATCCCAGAGGAGCATTATGAAAGAACCAGGAAATCTATGAAGAAACTGGCTTTTGCTATAAGATGTGACTAAGAGGTTACACACAAATTTCATCCCTGATCCCACTGTGAGGGATACAAGTCTCCCTGCTTTAATATCTTAGCATCTTTTGGTTTCCTTCAAACTTAAACTTTTGTAAAGTATATATCAGTCTCTTTATTTGTAAAATCTGGATAACCTTATAGAGTGTAAAGTTTAGACAGATTACTCAAAATGCTTGAAACAATTCCTAACATAACATAGAGGAGAGACTCAATAAATGTTAGTGGGCATTTATTATTTATAGTATTCCACATAATAAAGTATTGCATATATTTCAAGTTCTTTTTTATTCAGTTCAACAAACAACAACTATAAAACAGTTCACTCATTTCCCCCATCCCCATTCACTTTAACATAACAAACTACCTCATATGCTTTGGGAATCATTCAATGCTTGACTCCTCACTTCTAGAATATAAGCTTCTTGGTGGCAGGGACAGTTAACCACTGTGGCACACATCACAACCATGAAGAATGGGCTTCCTGGCGGTGAAGCATCACCTGCAATGCAGGAGATGCAGGAGATGTGGATTCAACTCCTGGAGAATAAAATGGCACCCACTCCATTATTCTTGCCAGGAAAATTCCACGGACAGAGGAGCCTGGCGGGCTACAGTCCATGGGGTCCCAAAGAGTCAGACATGACTGAGCGATGGAGCACACCATCAATAAAATATGAGCAGAACAATCACTTCCAGGCGGAAAACAGAAATGCTGCACTCAGTTCTCCTCCTCACTCTTTCCTGAGTGTAGAAGACAGGGAGTACAGCACTGAATCCTGATGTAGAAGACATCTGCTCTGGGGAGTAGCTGGATTCACAGCCGATGATGATCAGACAGAAGTAAACCTCTATTGTTTAAGCCTCTGAGCAATAAGCAATATTGGGATGGTTTATTACAGCAGCATAACCTATCTACATTGACTATTACAACACATTTCATTCCTACAACCTAGTATAAGATCTACCACCTAGTAAGTAATCAAATATATTTTTACTAAATTAGTAAGTCAAAAGCTTTAATGGTTGATAAAGACTTGCTTTAGTTAAATTATTTTCAACTCCATTCTGTATACAATGAAAAGCTTTGGAAATTTTAACCAATTCACATGTGGGGATCATAATCTGCTGTTGCTAAGTGATTTCATTCATGTCCGACTCTTTGCAGCCCTATGAACTGTAACCCACCAGACTCCTCTGTTCATGGGATTCTCCAGCCAAGAATACTGGAGTGGATTGCCATGCTGGGTACCAAACCAGCATCTTAGATATCAAAGCCAGTCACACATGCTTTGCACTACTAAGGGACTCCATTAAAGTTTTATTGAATTTCAATTGAATAATTTTTTCTGTGAAGTGTTTCTGAAAAATATTTCTATCACAGAGTCACTTACTTAAATGACCCTACCTAAAGGCACCAGTGCCTTGCAGAACATGCTTGCAAAACTCTGTGTGTGGTCCCTGCCTCCCCACCAGTCACCACACAGATGCAGAAATTTTTCATAATCACATAGATTACACTAGAAACCAGAAGGACCTGAAGGTCAAAAACATTAAGACAACTTGTTTAATAAATTGAATTTGCAGTTTCTCTGGTCAGGGAGGGGGAAAGGGGGATGAGCATTTGGTTACTTATTTCAGAAAGAATCAATACATTTACCAAGACAAAAGCAAAACCATGAGCTCAGTTTAATCTGGTTGGGGAAGCATGACAAGCTCTATCAGTGGTAATGGTGGGGTCAGGCAGAGGAACTGATGTCATCACAGAAAAAGTCATGAGGTCCCAGAGAATGAGAAAATGAAACCTGAGGCTCTGTCTGGTAAATGAGAAAGAAGTCACAGAAAAAAAAAAAAAAAGAAGTTTCCCTCCAGCACTACTAATGGTTCTGAGCAAATCAGTTCTCAAGAACGCTCCTTAATTCCTGCAGCCTCCCAGCTCTAGTGTCCAGGGGACCACGCTCACTCACTTCAGTCATTCCAACTCTTTGAGACTTCATGGACTCTAGCCCACCAGGCTTCTCTGTCCATGGGATTTTCCTGACAAGAATACTGGAATGGGTAGCCATACCCTCCTCGGGGATCTTCCCGACCCAGGGATCAAACCTGTGTCTCCTGCATTGCAGGCAGATTCTTTACTGCTGAGCCTTCCAGGAAGCCAGCCTAGGGGACCACCAGGCTCATAATAACATAGATATTGGGAGGTGATCTGGCATCTGGTCTGATAGAAACGTAGAAATAAGCAAGTCTAAGGTGGTGGAAGGATAAGGGAAAGGTCAGCGTTGACCTGTGTGAACACAACAGAAACTCTGGGCTTTGAAGAGAGAGTATTGGGTTGACTTGGGGTCCCTAGGCAGGCATCTTATCTCTACCATTACCTAGTTGTATGAACACAAGCAAAGACTTAAACCTCTCAATGCTTTCATTTCCTCCCCTGAAAATGAAGATATAACAGTGTCACCTAAAAGGACTGTTCTGAAAAGTTGACTTGGTTAATACCTGTCCAGCACAAAGCTGGACATTTCTCGGGAAATGACAACCTTTGCTATTATGCCCTGGGACACAAACTAGTGACTTGAGGAATGCAGTCCTTATCAGTTCTGTCACCCTGGGCACATTACTTACCTTCTCTGTGCCTTAGCTTTCTCATCTGTAAAATGGAGTAATAATTCTTATGTCACAGGGCCGTTAGAACGCATCATGATACACCTAGTAGGGTTCCTCGATCATAGTTATCCCACGATCACTGACATTACCTGACATTAGTACTATTTCTTCTGTTAACAGTAAGAAGCTGAATAGGATAGCAGACATTTTGACTCGGGCACCAGGAAATGCAGTGGGGCTGAATGGGAGTGAGGGTTTAAATGTACACACAGAATATTTGGGGAAGTGAAAAAAAAAAGAAAAAGGCTCTCATATTTGGAAAAAAGTGTATGTGCTTACAACGGTGGGGTCTTGGCCCTTCAAGGTGATACCAAAGATGGCATATGGTCACCAAGGTTGTGACTCATGTAAGAAACCTGAGATAAATCCCTGAGAACAGAGATCTGCTCTCACTTCTCTGCATTCCCTTAGTTCCCAGCACAGTGCTAAAGGCCCCAAACGTTGGCTGAACCGGGTCAGAACGCGGGTCTCGCGCCCTGACTGTCCAGCAGAGGCCGCCCTGGGCCGGGACTCTCGGGACTCGGGCGCCGGGAGAGGAAAGGCCAGGGGTGGCCTTGTCATCGCCGCGGGGCCCGGGTGGGAGGGGTTTGGCGGCGGCTGTCGCGGCGGCGGAGGCGGCCCCGGGCTCCGGCGGCTGGGATGGAGCAGAAGCGCGCCGGGCGCCGGAGGACGAGCAGCTGACGGAGCCGCGCGGCGCTCGCCTCGCTTCCCCTGCCGCCGCCCGGGCCGCCCGGCTCCCGCCGCAGCCAGCGGGCCGAGGAGAAGCTGCCCGCGCCCAGGGGCGCTCGGTCAGTCCCGGCAAACTCTCCCGCCGCCCGCGCCGGGCTCGGCACCAAGTACCAAGGTACCATGGTCTGCAAGAGCCTCTTCGCTCTCTGCATCTTCACGGCAGGTATTTTGGGGCGCTGTCCCTGGCGGAGGGGTCGGGCGCGGTCTGGGACCCGAGGCCAGCGCTGGGGTGGGAGCTGAAGCCGGGGGAGCTGGAAGTAAGTCGCCGCGCGCGGTTGGCAAGAGTGATGCGAACCTTTCGGGCTACGCAAAGGTATGTGCGCACTTGGTTTTGGGGCGATGCGCGTTTTTGGAGATACTGTGCCGAGGCGGACCGAGGGGTTGACAGGGTTCTTCCCGCCGCAGCTCGCCCCCGCAACAAACTCCGGGCTTTGTGAAACAGGTGGCTGCCCGACGCGTTTGAAGCCGGGCTTGGCGACGCTGGGGTTTCTCGGGTCTCTGAGCACACCCTGCCAGAGTTGGGCATCAGACTTCCTGACGCGGTTGCACCCAGGGAGGGATGAGAAAAAGAAGCAGGCGGGGATAGCATCTAGGAAAGCGCGAAGTCTTAGCCGCGCCACCCGGCCGGGCTGGTTTGCGTTCCCCGAGTTTTGGTGGGCTCCGTCTCCGCGTCCTTTCCTATGGTGCGGTACTGAGAGCCCTTTTCCCAGCCGGCTCGAGCTTCCGATCACGGCGGGGGAGTTTCCACTTCTGCCGTGTGGCCCCGAGGCTCCCCAGAATCCGTGCCCCGTGGCTGAAACTGTTAACTTGGCAAAAACTAGCATTCTCCCGGTTCCATCCCGGCCCCTCCGGCCGGCTCGGCTTCCCCACGCGCGTTTTTCTCTGGACCACGGACGGCGCCGGCCTTTAAGCAGGGGATTGGGGAGAGGAGCCCGAGAACTGAGCTCGGCTTGGTGGGGAGATGCAGAAAGGCGTTTTGAGTTTTGAGTCAGTTTTTCTAGAAAATGCAAGCCGACAAGGGACACGTATGGGTGGAAAAAGCCGCCGAGTGCGCGGACGCCGGCGTGTTTAAAGATAAGAATGTCCCAAAGCCACGTCCATACACAAATCATTTGACTCATGCTTGTAGAACGTGTATATGTATTTTTCGTCCTGAATTGCTTGGGTTCCTGTAATCATGGACACAGGTCGTCACAATCCCATGAAAAGAAACTAGAGATTTCCTGGCAGCTCAACAAAGGATAATGCAGTTTTGAGGAAAAGTTTCCCAACTTGAGGCTAGAGCGAGTCTTCTTCCTCCACTTGCTGAGCGCCTCGGAAAGCTGTCTTTTCTCTCCGGGGTCTGCACGTCCGCAGCCTTGGCCAGGCGGGGAGGGCACGGATCCCGGCAAGTGTGACAGCCGAGGGTCCCGGCATTACCGAGAAATGACGTTTATGAAATGATAGGAAAGGTGCCTTCCATTCTCCTCGCTAGAAATCTTTTCATGAGGCTCAGGGCTCAGAAAACCGTCAATTAGCCAGTAGAGCTGGTAGGTAGGTTTGTTGGCTAATTTTATTTAGTGGCTTGTCTTTTTAATTTCTTCCTTTTTAAAAAAAAAAAAAAAACTCTAGCAGTTGGCAACGCTGGGATTAGGCAGTGTATTGTGCTCCCCACCCCCCCTCCACCGTGCAAGGAGCTCACGATTTTTTCTCCCTCCTTGGCCAGTTTTAGAATTTAGCTCTGCTGTTTTTTGCAGCTGAAATCTTGCCCTTGTTCCTGGACAGAGTGAGGAGGCTGGTAGCTCAGGGACTGACTGAGTAGCCTCACTCTCATCCTAAAGCACCTGTGTTGAGGTCAGCATCCAGAAGATCACAGCCTCTGACTTCTGGGGCTCCCCTGACCCCCGGAAGACACAGTTATGTTTCTGGGTCTATCTCCCAAACAGAGACTGTGGAAGCTTCATCCTTTCCTCTGAGTTTGTGCCTGGGAAGAAGTCTCTTTGGGGATCAGTGTGTTAGATATACCTACAGTAAGTTATCAAGAAAATCATATAAAAATATGTATAAATACCTTATGAGCATCTCTACATCCCAAGGTAGGGTGCTTTCAGAAACTAAAATACAACATTTCTAGAAAAAGTTGGTTAAGGAGAGAGGGACTAGGGTTCTGAAGATGAAAGTGGCATGCGTGTTTCAGTAGATCATTCTGGCTCTCTTGGCAAAGCTCTAGTTAGTTTCACCAGATAGTTGCTTTTTCTTTTCTTTTGTTTCTTTTTTAATCCCTCCAACTTTAGTGGCTTCAGGAGATTTTCTGTAAAACTCTTAAGATGATACTTTCTTGAGTCAGAATGGGGTGTAGCGGGGAATTTTTTTTTTTTTTAGTATAATAAATCTCATTATAAATACTTAGCATTTCTGCCAACCTGTATAATGGACACTTGTGAATATCTGTGCATTGTCAACAAAGCAGCAAAAGTAGACCTCTACACTTAGTTGTATTTTAAAAAGAAGGAAGAGAGAGAAATCTTGGGCTGTCTTCTGTTCTTCCAGAGCTGATTGTGGTAGAAAACAAGCGTGGTTATTTTACAAACCATTCCCAAACACCTCTAAGGCCAGTACTCTGGGCATACAGAAACACTAGCTCTAAATTACAAGCCAGAACCTCCGAAGTTTGGTATCAGAACCCAGTGGGAAGGAAGAATGACGGACCACAGGAAGTTTTCACCTTCACCCCTCTCTGTTTCCCCACTGGATTCAATTCTGTCTTTCCCACCATCTTTGTTGCCACCCTCCAGAGCTCTATGGCACAATATGTTTAAAAATTCCCTCACTGAGACATCTGAGAATTACTGGAACTTTCCAAAGGCCTTTTCCAAACATTCAGGTAGTTCAAAGGAGAAACAAGCATAGATAAGAAAGACACAAACCCCTTGACTCGATGTTTTCTGATGTGGGTTCTGCCCTATCTGCCCCTGGTCTCCCCACCCCCACCCCAGGGTGAATGCAGCATTCTACCCCATTACCCAAGCTTGGTGATCAATACCAGCAGGGCTAGATTCCAGTCTGCCACCCGGTTTGAGAGCCTACTTGTGTCTTGCACCTGTAACGTCATTCTTCAGGTGACTAACATCTCAAATGTCCTTCCTGGAAGACCCCACACTCCACCTTTATAGCTGTATTCTCACTATAGGTCCCGATATATGGAAGGGCCTTATCATAAGCATATTAAAGGCGTATCATAAATCTTACCATAAACATGTTAAAAATAAACCCCCAAAAATGCACACACATTTAAGGCAACAGCAGGGTTGCCTGTGGTTGGTTGAGAGTGGAGGTGAAGGGTGGCATACATCGCTTTAGCCTGGTTACCTCCTATTCCCCTGAAGTCTGCGTCACAAAGAGACACATCCTTCACTGGGAAACCTACCTGAAAAGGTAGAAATTCTCTATTACTATGGGATACATTTGTTGAGACAGTATTGCAAAGTGGTGAGCACTCAAATTCTGCAGTTAGATTGCCTTGTACAAAGCAAAATTATTAGCACTGAATTGTATAATCTAGGGACCTAATCTAACCATTTTTGACTTTTCTTATCTACAAAATTGAGGGAATAAAACCTCTTTAGGTTGTTGAAAGTGGTAAATGACTGTTCATACCTATAATGCCTGGGACATAGTAAGCACTCAATAAGTATTAGCAGTTGTTGTTGCTATTATTCTGATTAATAAAGGTGACTGTGTTCAGCACCAATTAGGTCATCCTCTCAGACGGGTATGTATTTCTGCTTGGCCTGTGTAAATTGAAGATCTCAACTAATATTCCAGCTCAGTACCAGCTGTTCTGGCAAATCCTCATGTGCAAATTAAGAAAAGATTCAGCTGAGCCTACTAAATGCCTAATTTGAAAAGGTTAATAATGTGCCAGCTCAAATTTAGCACAACAGTCCAAAAAACACTCAGTAACAAACAGAAGTGTCACCGAAGACTTCATTTCTTCCACGAAGTCTTTTGCAAACTGATGTGTTTCAAGAGCCCAACTCAAGTAAACCTTAAGGTCAAACAAGGATTCCCAATGGTAAAGAATTTGCCTGCCAATGCAGGAGACATGGGTTTGATTCCTGGGCCTTAAACATCCCACATATCACACCACAACTATTGAGTCTGTGTTCTAAGCATCTGGGAACTGCTCTAAGATCATGCACAACTACTGAAGCCCCCACCATAGAGCCCATACCACACAACAGGAGAAGCCACTAAAGGAGCCGCTCCAATGAGAATCACTACACTGCAATGGAGAGTGGACTCCGCTCACCGCACCTAGAGAAAAGCCTGTGCAACCACAAAGACTCAGCATAGCCAAAAAATAAATAAATGAACAAATAAAATTAAAAATAAAATGTCAGGTGCCCAGATCCACAAATTTTGGATAATTGAGATCGAACAACTTAGGAAAAGGCATTTCGTGGTGTATGAATGACCCAGCATGGCTCTCTCCAGAATCCAAAACCATCAGTAATGGCCAGATCTCTAATTTAACCTGATCATTTGGGCCTAATTTCGTGGTGCTTATGTTTTCATAAGAAAAATACTGGCCAAATGTTTACATTGTTTGAGCAGATTTTCTTAAACAGTAATTTTGCAGGGGGCATGGGTAGGGGGTACAGCATTCACTGGAAACAATGAAGAGGGACGTTAAACATATTTTCAAAAGGGATTGGTTGTTTTTGAACACCCAAATGAAAGGAATCTTGCTATAGCATTTACAATAGTTTTCTCCCTTTTTGAAATATCTGTTACTGAAATTGTATACGTTAGTTTAGGAAACAAATAGGATCATCCCTCAGTATCCACAGCCTACCCTCACCATACAAAAATCCTCAGATGCTCAAGTTTCTTATATAAAATGGCATGAAGTGAAGTGAAGTCATTCAGTTGTGTCCGACTCTTTGTGACCCCATGGACTGTAGCCCACCAGGCTCCTCTGTCATGGGATTTTCAGTCAAGAGTAATGGAGTAGGTTGCCATTTCCTTCTCCAGATAAAATGGCATAGTATTTGCATATAACCTACACACATCCTTCTGTATACATTAAATCATCTGTCGTGTTGGAGAAGGCTCTTGAGAATCCCTTGGACTGTAAGGAGATCAAATCAGTCAATCCTAAAGGAAATCAACCCTGAATAT